TGTACAATCTCAGAACAGTCATTTAGCCTGCCCATGCTTTGATTTTGTCATCTGTAGTTTAGGATCACAATACCTGCCCAATGGTAGTTATGAAGATTAAGACTTTAGTCCGTCTTGTCTGTCTGATCACAAGTTACACTTGAGCCATCATACCCAGGGGTGACCTGTCCCTGCTGGCCAGAGTTCCCAGAGGGTTTCACAGTGAAATTAAAGATATGCAAGCCTACTTCTGCTCCTTCAAGTGTCTGTATGACACCATGATGTCCTTTAAAACTCCACATCCTACCCTGCTTTTTTTCCCAGCACAGATAAGGCAGAAACACTCCAAATGAAGTCCTTCGGACAGAGAACAGTTGAGGGACATGGCCTGTCCACTCTGTTTGCGGGTGGCAGATTCCGCATGTTAGGCACGTTACCCAGCACCACATTCATTGATGATTATATTAAAAGCCACATTCCTGGGAAGGATCTGCTCAGCCGCCACAAGCTTATTCATTATTTATAAACAATTAAAGGGCATGGTTCAAATGAATGCAAGCATCCGGGAAACTCATTACTCAAGTACGGATCAACTCAAGCATTTGTCATCTCCCTGGTGACTTAACATACTCTCTGTGCCTTGGGACCTCAAATTATTAAGCAGAGTGGATGCTTATACTCTTATTTTGTTTAATTGTTGGCCTCATTCCACTTGTTCGGATTATTTGAACTTGTTTAAAATTAGTCCCTCACTTCTGTTTAATATATTAAAATAGGTAAGGGGGGAAGTTTCTTTTTAGAACCTATTGCATTCTAAAGATGAATGCAAATTATCCTACTATGATTCTTAATGACCCACTATTAACATAGTAGGAAACCCAGTGCATTAATGCAATACCTCTTTTCACATCATTACTCCTAATGGAACTGTTACCAGGATAATAGCTTGACCTTTAGCTATAGATTCAGATAGCAAAAATATATTCTGCATATTCCTTACCTCTATTCACATGGCATTTTGACTATTTTCACATCAATGCAACAACCATCTTTTGGCCTGTTCTAGGCCTCATCTACCATTGTAGTGAAAAGAATAGGATTTTCTCTTCATTAGGTAAATTCTAGTTAAAAGTCTCTTTTAAGTTTGGATTGATCCATGAACTAGAATGTCAATATATGCCTAATGGAAATATTTATTGTTAGGTATTTTTTGAGAAGTCTAGCATTCTGTCTTCAAAGGTCTCAGTCACAAACCCAGGAGACAGCAATTTTCCTGGCTTCTTTGTTTTGAAACCAAATTGCTTTTGACTGAAAGGAGAAAAAAAAATAAGCAGAAAAGTGTTGCCTTAAAAATGAATGACAGAGTACTTGAGCTCAAGGTTATATTGGAAAGGTCTGACTTGAAGCTCCTCCCAGAGTTGGACAAAACATTCCACAGCCTTCCCTTTGGCTCTCCTGAACTTGGTTATTGACATGCCCAGGAGTCATTTTGATATTGGCACAGCCTAAATCTACTTTGTTATTTTGGGACCACTAGTTTTTAATATGTGATAATTTGGACACATGCATTTCACTATCTAAGAAAAGAGAGGTTGCTATGGAAATTAATTATATAAATAATACTACAAGTGGGAAGATGTTTCCCTGCAAAGACAGTATATTCAATAATTTTTGTAGTATATATTTTTATATAAGCAAATAGGGTACTAAGTAACAAATATATTTTTCCATTTATTAAAACAGAACTTCAATGACATCATTTGGCGATTCTCTGATTAGTAAACTTTGGGCATGTGTGTATAATAAAAAACCTTTCTTTCAAAATATTCTGTTAATTAAAGCTTCCTAGTAATTTTTCCCCACTTAATCTAAATTTGTGAGCTACTGTTTTTGCTTTTATTAGAAACAAAACTGAAAAATATGTTTGCCTATTCATCACATGCGTCTTGAGTTTCTTCAGTGCAAGGCACTAGGTTTTTTGAAGGAGAAAAAGAAAAGTCTTTTAGAACCTGGTGTAAATTTAAAAGTGCACACCTATCACCCAGGGTATCGTTTTCCTCTGTTCTCTCCCAGGTGGAGCCTGCTTACTCTCCTAAGTCCCACATAACTGACACTGGGCAACCTGGTTGATGTTTTCCTGCTCCTTAGTTCTGCATCCTAATCGTAACTCCCCCTCTACTCAAGGGAGCTGGGATAGAATCTTCTTCCATCAGCCACACAAAGATCCATCTGACCCACTGGCCACATGGTGTCTGGTCTTCATCTCTGATCCCTTTGGCCTCTTCTGCCTTTCAGCCCACACTATTGAGCACACCTTATCATCCTCTCCACAGCTGCATGCCACTGCTGTTTTATTTGATTTTTTGATTCTTTGATACTGGGGATTGAACCCGATTCTGCCAAAAGTATCTGGCAGACTCCTGCCCCTAGGCCAGTCCTATCATCCATTGTCCTAGATGGGAGCTGCAAAGTGCTGACGGAGACAGCGCCTCACCTGTGTAGACTTGTCACCCCATCTGTAGCTTGGCAGCCTTTCTGCTTGTCCTCACTCTACCGTTTTCCAGTTCTCCTCAGAGATAGCTCCAAACATTCCCACACTCACCTGTAATCCTAGTGGTTGGGAGGCTGAGGCTGGAGGATCATGAATTCAAAGCCATCCCCAGCAATGGCGAGATACTAAGCAACTCAGTGAGACCCTGTCTCTATATAAAATACAAAATAGGGCTGGGGATGTGACTCAGTGGTTGACTGCTTCTGAGTTCAATCCCCAGTACGGGGTGGGGGGGAAGGGGGGGAATCCCCATACTCTGCACCCTGATAGAGCTTCACTGCTGAGTTCGCTGAATCACAGGATCCATCACTCCAGCCTGGAACCACTTCTGAATTGGCCGCTGTCTTCCACTTGTTCTGGCTTCAGATAACAGCTCCCTCCTATCTTCTCCTTCTAAGCACTGGTGTTGTCCGTAGTTCTGTGCCTGGCATGGTGGGCTTCTTACTCTGTATGTTCTCGGGGATTGGTTATTGGTTTTCTCTCATTAACTACCACATACATAGTCAGACCTATGTGTCATTGGGTTCACCGCCAATGATTAAAAATATTCAGAAAAAACCTAGCACCACAAAACAAACAATAACAAAAGCAAACCAAATCCCAAATTCCATACAACTTGGGGACTGGAGGTATAGTTCAGTGGTTCAATGCATGCTTAACATGCACAAGGCCCCAGATTTAATACTGAGGACAAAAAAAAAAAAAAGAAGAAGAAGAAAGAAAGAAACCACATCTGTATGAAACATGCACAGACATTTTTCTTGTTATTCCCTGAACAATACAGTATAACTTACATAGTGTTTACCTTGTATTAGGAATAATGAGCAATCCACAGGCTATTAAAAGTACGCATGAGGATGTACATAGGTTATATATAAACACTATGCCATTTTCTATAAGGTACTTGAGCAATTGAGGATTTGGGCATCCTCAAGGGTCCTGGAACCAATGCCTGGGGGTACCCAGACACAACCGCCTGTTTGTGCCTTTCAGACCAGTGTGTTCAGGCCAGCCCTTTTCCTGCAGTGTAGGCTTCTCTGTCCACATCTGCTGGCCATCTCCACATGGGTGGTCCAAAAACACTCCCCACCCTCACAAGTCTTCCCTTTCTTCTGTATTTATTATATCATATGATACACAAAAAAAACTCCAGTTCTCTGCCCTAGATACCTGACTTGCTCTGGCAACTGTAGTCACTTCTACAATTATAATAGCCTCCTGAGGGGATCCCCTCCTTCCTGTGGCCACCCTCATACAATTGGATAGCTTACATATGAGATTGCATGCATGGCTTTTTCTCTTCCTTAAATTATCTCCTAAGAAGTATGTTCTTTGATTTAAGTATTAGTTTAACATTTTTTTCTAATATTTTATACATGTCTGAGTATGCTACAGATAACTCTGTCCATTTTTCTATGGGGACTTTTTATTTGAATGTGCTCTTTAGATGGTGGTATATAATGAATGTTTTCAGCCATGTTTAGTGCAATTGACTTTTTCATTCTACTGAAATATTTATTTTTCATTAAATGGAAATTTCAATTTTTATGTAGTTGAATCTGTCAATATTTTTCTCTGTTATTTCTTTTTAAAAGAAACCTTTTAAAACATTAAACTTACCAATATTTTAAATACCAAGAAGGCAGCGTGATATGACTTTAGACTAGATGTTGACCTTACGGAGAGCCAGTTGAAAAGACAAGTTGAAAAGTGCTCAGGAACTGGAGAGGGAGGTAGAAATGTCACCCATACATGCAGTCACATACTGTGCGCAGCATTCCTGAGGTCATTGTCCTGCTTTCCTTTTGTCCTGCCAGATGATTCTCCCTAGTTTCTTTGGGCTTAATAAGGGAGGCCTTTACCCAGAACTAGAGTTAACTCAAATTGGAATTTCTGTCTAGATTATGTCTTAAGATTTCATCGAGACATACTGCATTATTATTTATTTTGAGTATTGACTGGGTTAATGAGAATCACCATGAGAACATCATCTTTTTGTGTAATTTTTCATTTTATTTTGAATCGACAGCAAAAAGTAAGGTCTTTCAGTGTGTTTGTGGGGCCAGTGGATCAGTAGGAAGTATTTCCTTTTGGGCCTATGAGATACACACACAAAGAGATGGGGAAGTAGAAAGAGCAGTTTCCATGTGAATTTCTCAGTATTTCCAGCCAGTTTCATTTTAAAGCACAATCCACCATTGGTAGCCAGAGGCAGGCTAATAATCATCTTTATCATTCAGATGTGGAAAGCACACACTACACAACTGACATCCTTTAGAAATAGACTTTTGGTGGGGGGCTCAGTGGTAGAGCACATCCTTAGCATAGGTGAGTCCCTGGGTTCACTTCCCAGCATCTCCAAAAAAGAAAGAACTAGACTTTTATTTTCTTCTTGGGCTATATTCCTATTTCAGATCTGCATATTTTATTTGTTAAAGTATATAACAGTATATTTCACATTCTCTTTCAGTCTTCACAGAAAAGTACTGTACTGCTAACCATGTGGATAAACTTCCTGGCCCAAGAGACTGGGTACAGATTCTACAGGATCAAATTAAACTGGCCAGAAGAAGGTTAAAAAGAGGATCAGGTATGAATAGGTTGTAAAAAAGTAATTGTGGAAGTACTTTATTGTACTGTATTTATTCTTAGCCTTTGTAAAGCACAATACTTTTCTCTAGGGCAGTTTAGTAGGAAATTTCTTTTTTGAAGGAAAAGCTCTACATAATGTGCTTTGGTTAGCTACCTTAAAGTCTTATTCAAGATTTTGAAACTCACCTTAAGATTATGTAGTAAAACTTATGACAGGCCATTTGTTTTGAATAGTACAAAGGAAAAAGATTGCTAATCTCATTTATGGTCCAATGTGTCTCACATATAAAACTGGGTCTCTCTTTTGTGGTTTTCTTCTATTTGCCTATTTATTCTTGTTTGTTTGGGTCTGCTTGATTTATTAAAAATGTCCTACTTGTTTAAGATTTTTTTTTTAATTAGCCAAAATCCTTCAATAAGAACCATCAATCACATCAAGGAAGAAGGAATGTATGTGTGTTTTAAAGTCTGGGCTTGGATTTGGGAATTTGGGGGTTATCCTTCCAGGAAAATTGAACATTAGTTGCATTGTGACATTTAGATTTGGTCATTTGAAATCTCAGGCTTCCCAAAGTGACAGTGGGCCATTGTACCAATGAGAAATCCCTTGAGGTCAGTTTTTTCCTATCATACAGAAATAGTTGTCTCAGGATGGAGATATAGCTCAATTGGTAGAGTGCTTCCCTCGCATGTACAAGGCCCTGGGTTCAATCCCCAGCACCAAAAAAAAAAAAAAAAGTTGTCTTTAGGAGTCCACAGATTTCTATTTTTTAAAAAAAATTCCTTATACATTCATACATCTATTTTGAAAAACAGTGTGGAGGGTCCTCAAAAAGATAGAAACAGAACTACCATATTATCCAGCAAACCCACTTCCAGGTATATATCAAAATCAATGAAAGTATGTTGGTGAGCTCTCTGCACTCCTATATTCATTGATACATTTTCACCAATAGTCAAAATATGGAATTGACGTAAGTGTCCACCAGAAGTAGATCAATGTATTTTTTAGAAATGTAGTATATATATATATATATACACAATGGAATACTGCTTACTCAACCTTAAAGAAGAAGTCTCGGAGTTTCATTTGCATCAGCATGGGCAGGCCTGGAGGGTGTTGCACTAAGTAAACCAGGCACAGAAAAGAGATACTCAAGATCCCACTGTGGAATCTAAGAAAGTAGAACTCACTGAAGTCAAGATTAGAATGGTGGTCACCAGGGGGCTGGGGGGGACTAAGGGATGCTAGTCAAAGTATACAGAATGTCAGTTAGGAGGAATAAGATCAGGGGATCCGTTATGCCATATGGCAACTAACAGTGTTAATTGTTAATAAAACACTTGAAAATTAAGGGAGTAGACTTTAAATGTTTTTACCACAAAGTATGCAAAGTGATTCTATTAATTAGCTCAATTTAACCACTCCACAGTGAATACATATTTCAGAAAACTATGTACATCATAAATATACAAATTTTGTCAATTATATAAGATGAAAAAAAAAATCCAGATCCAACACCATGGCATCTGGCCTTTGGAACCCCTGTGGCTAGAGTATGAGTCAGTTTGGGAGGTGGACTTTGAATATGAAAATGATCTCTAGCAAACACGAGATTGTTCTCTTAGTCCATTTTGTGCTCCTGAAGCAAAATACTACAGACTGAGTAATCGATTTATAATGAACAGAAATGTATTGGCACACAATACATTAAGGGAGTAGACTTTAAATGTTTTTACCACAAAGTGCAAAGGGAAAAGGGAAAAATTAATAAATAAAAGAACACTTTTAGAGTTGAAGGCACATACGTTGCTCAGAAGGTTTACCCAGTGGGTAACACCAGGTTAGCACGGATGATGTCATGTTGGATGTCTCATCTTCCTGGAGGCTGGAAGTCCAAGAGTGAGGGACCACAGCTGGCGAGGGCCTTCTTCCTGCAACTTCTCATGGCCAAAGAGTGAAGAAAGTGAGAGAGAGGGGAAAAAATGAGGACCAAACTCAGGCTTTTATAACAGTTTACTTCTGCAGTAATGAACCCACTCATTTATCCAGTGGTAAGGGCAGGGCCTAATCACACCCTACCCCCAGCACTATGGCATTGGGGGTTAAGTCTCTAATGCATGAACTCTGGGGGACACACTCAAACCATAGCAGTCTCTCACAGATCCCTTTCTAGTGAACCCTTCCTAACCAGCCGTGACCTTGTCACTCAGACTCTGCCAGAGCAGGGACCAGCAACTGAATCATGTTTGTGTCCCAGGTGACACATGGTATGTGAGACAGGCTGACTCTCAAGAAATAATAGTTGAATGAATCAATGAAAATGTCAGTAATTTCAGAAGACTTGTTGTTTGCACTTGAAGCCTGTAGAACATTTCACCAGTCCCTTCTTGGGGTTCAAATGTTTATCCCATTCCCTCCAGAACTCATGGGGCAACAATGTCCCTGAGCCTCATCCTCAGGAACAAGATTCTTACAACTCCTGGTGACTCATTGTGGTCATCCCTGAGCCCTTCTCCTTCCTCCTTATTCTTCCTTCCCAGTTTCCTCTCTTATTTTTTCCTTCCCAAATCTCCTGCTAGTTTATCTCATAAAGGTCCCCTGCATCCTTCCTGAGTTCCTTCACAAAAATCCCTTCTTATTACATTAGTCCTGCAAGGTTTCAGATCCCTGGAAGGGTTGAGTTGGGAGGGAAAAGGGGAAAAATTAATAAATAAAAGAACACTTTTAGAGTTGAAGGCACATAAGTTGCTCAGAAGGTTTACCCAGTGGGTAACACCAGGTTAGCATGGATGATGTCATGTTGGATGTCTCATCTTAATTTTATGGCCTAAGTATTAAGTCTGAGTGTTGACCACACCAGTAACTACTAAGTTGGCCTGTGTGCCAAGATTCTACTTTGGACGTCTTGACTGAATAAGAACTTCCATTTCCTATTGATTTGCAAGGTGGAAATTGTTGACCCCCCCCCATATATTGTATTATATACAATATAATATTCTAGTTTAAGAGAAATCTAAAATGTGTCCTAATGTAGAGTCCTAAGTTCAAGATCAATAAGCCCAGAGAAAAGGCAAGGGGCCAGTGTACCAACCAAGAACCAGCCACCTTTGCTTCTCCCAGATTCTAGTCCCAACTATGCCACCAACTTTGAGCTAGCCTGAGGCAGGCAGAAGATCCCTTTGTGAGTGGCTGTCTCCTTTCTGCTTTGCAGGGGCTGCTCAGGGCAGATGCAGCAATCAGAGATACTTGAAGCTCTCTGGGACCTTGAGGGGAAGGAGCTGTGTATAACAGGACTGTTGAGATTACTAATTGACGTGCTACAGAGACTACCTGAGAAAGGAAGGAGAGGGCTTTGTGTTCCAAAACACATGCCTCTCACTGAAGAGAGTGAACTAAAGGTCCTAAAGGGCTTGAAACTTTTAGAAGAAACCTTTAAAGGTAGAAGTAACAAAAAGTAGGGAGATATTGGGGAAGGCTATTCCCAGGGACTGAGAAAGGGCATTGCTGTACCACAAGATGACAGTAGGAAATTGTTTCAATGTCATTCTTCTGGTGCCTTTGCCAAGCTGTATATGTCCAACAGTGTCCAAAATAATCATGCCTTTTTTTCCCCCTTCTTGTCAAATGCTGAGACCAATGATAAGTTCTGGTATCTTCCCACCAGCAAACATGACTACACAGTAGGGCTGCACAGTAGGGCTCCACATTGCCCTTCCTACCTCCCACAGACTGGTCAGTGAACACATTTCTTAATTATCACAGCATTTCTATTAATAATTCACATTTCCAGTGCTGCTTTCCCCCCAGCACACACACACATAGAGTGGGACCCAAACTCTAGCCTGCTCCCCAGTTCTTCCCTTCCTTCTCTCAGAAGCTTAGAAGATCACCCACTCCTGTTCTGTAGGCATCAGGATATTTGACTTAGGACATTTTAGTTTTTGAGTGGTGGGTTTAGATAATCTGCCTAGATATCAATGACATGTTTAGAGCAGGTTCTATTAGTGATTGAGAAATGGAACGTGATCATAAGACAAAATCACCCCTGACATACAGACAGACCAAACCAGACCTAAATAATAGCACATCAGCCCTGGCTTGCCAAACAGATTCTGTCTTCCAATCTGTGAAGTGCTGCTACATATCATTCTCAAGCAGCACAAAAGTGGGACCCCAGCAATCAAAACTAGAGCCACTTGGATTTCCTGCAGGGGACAAGGGGCCTGGATCAATAATGTTACTTGCTCTTGTGTTCGCTGTCTTGATTATTTTCCATCTAAACGATAATACAAACAGTGTCTCATAGATATTCCCCAGTTTCAACCTTATTTATCATATTTGGCTCAATTCCTGGAATTAGGTGCAAACTCTGACTGGGCAAGCTAATCAACTGTCCGCTTAGGAAAGTCTGCCGTGCCTCTGGAAAAAGAAGTGCCCCACACGGATTTGAAAGGTCGTTATGCAAATCCAAACAGAAATTCATTTGGGGTTCTCATCACATGTAATCATTTTTTTCTATAACTGGAATGATTCCTTTTCTGGTGTGGATTTTTATTATTTTCATTAGATTACTTCCTCAGAGCTGAAATCACAATTTATTATTTGTGTTAGATCCAAGAGTAAAGCTGTCACTGCTATTAAATTTTTATTGGACTTTCTCGATCTTTTCCAAATTTTACAACTTGATTGTCACCAGGGAAGAAAGAGTGTGAACTTGTTGATACAGACAGATGTTACAATTAAGTTTAGGTAATACAGTGATGTCCTTCATTCATGACATCTTGTCCCTGTTCATGCAGCTAGCTTATACTAATTTATATATAATAATTTACATAAACGTGGGTTGTTTATGTTCTGTTCTGACAAAAGAAAATAATTGCATAGGCCTGTTTATGAAAAGTAAGAATAGCTGAATTACAAAGAGAAGAGAATGCATACTCCAAAGTAATTTTTGTTGTAACTGAATGAAAAGCAATTATGAATCTAAACTGCAAGTTACTAAAGTACAAAATGAACTAAAATTTGAAGATTTTTAAAACAGCAGCTCATAATGATGCATGTGTTTATGTTTGGACTATTAATGACAAAGAGATTAAGAGCCCAGATTTAACCCAGTTCATTGTCACTTACTGGCTGTGTTACCCTGCGGAATTTCTTCACCTCCCTGATTCCTCATGTGTTAAAATGAGCATAACAACAGACCTATATCATAGGAGTTCAGTAACACACTACATGTAAGAACTTGGTAAATAGAAAGTATTTAACAAATGATGATAGTTGTCATCATTATTTATAGTTATTTTAAAATAATTTTTTAAAAAATTCTTGACAACAAGAGTTCTACCATGTAGGTCATCTACATATTCAAATTCACTCAAACCAATTAGGAGAAAATGACATAGGGCTGGGGATATAGCTTAGTTGGTAAAGTGCTTGCCTTACGTGCACAAGGCTCTGGCTTCAATCTCCAGCAGCGCGCGCGCGCACACACACACACACACGCACGAGCACAAAGAATAAAATGATGTCTTTTAAATATACAAATGGCATATATTCATTGTTTTTAATATATAAAATAATAAAATACAAAGAACTAAACTTTAAAAAAAAACCTGAAGGCTTTTTAGTGTGTCTTATTTTTTCTATGAACCTATTTACAAATTTTAATAATTTAGTCCCTTGATTAACTTGCCTGTTTTTGTTAATAAATGTTTATCTATAACATCATGTTAGTGGTTTCTACTCAACTCCAACCCATACTGGTTGTGACTACTCTTTCTCTTCTTGGGGTTTTCTGTTTGCCATGAATCTAGCAAGCTAGCAGGTCTTTTGCTAATGCCAGATGTACCCATCTGAGGACAAGATGTTAGAGGATGAACTAGAGGTGGGAAATGTGGAATATTTCTATCTGTATCTAAACCCTGATTGTGTTTAAAGCAACAACAATATAAAGAAGAACTCAGCATTAGTTTTGCTTCCCCAAACTCAGCATTACAACATGATGCAAATGGCAACCTTCCTTTGACTAGCCTCACTGTGCACCTGAACTATAAGCAGGGAACTTCCAGTGGGGATCATTCAGTGGGAGACTAAAGTCCCCTTCAGTTATCAGGAGACTTATAGGCCCCTTCTCTTTGAATTTAGTGGAAGGTTTTTCGTGACTAAAAGAGATACCTTTGCAAAATTCCTAAGGAGATTGAAACATATATCAGAGCTAAATTAAGTTTGCATTTTAAATCATAGAAGTAAAGAATCTTTTGCAGAAATGTGTATTTCTTCATGAATGAATAGATGCCAAAGTTGGACTGGCAGCTTGAGGACATAAATTTTCCAGCATCTCCAAAGAAAGTTTCACTTTTTGCATTTCCTAAGGCTACCCAGCAGGAGCGGCTCTGGGGATGGCAAGTTTGGTTTTATAACAGGAATTCTTTGACCTTTTTGCCTTCAATGACATGTTTAAACAGTCTACCCCAGATGCTGATTGGCTGTTGAAGCCCATGTAAATAAGCAAAAATGGCTGCTACAATAAGGTTCATAAGATTCTTAAAAATTTAAATATGGGAAAGTTGATTTTACGACATTATCATCATCAAAAAATTTTCATTTAAATAATGATGCTAAAATTTGTAATGTGAACCAACTGAAGCTGAAAATGGAAAGGATGAAACTTGTTATGTATACTAGAGTTATTTTAATTGTATTACTATATTCAGTAAAATGAATGTGCTCCCTGAAACTAATGAGATTTGTGTTTTATGTTTGTAACCAGCAGAGGTAGCTGACGGTGATGAAAGACTGGACGGCATTTCTCTACCACCAACAGGTAAAACACATTTACACTTTCATCACCTGCTGGAAAATACGGTGCAAGAAAATATTTGCATTGAAAATGGTATTAATATTAGAGATGCAGATGCTTGGGCAAGCTGCTTTCTGTAACAGACCCAGGCCCTGGCATTCAGAGTTTCTCAAAACCCTGGGTTCAGAGATGTTTTTTATATTGGATATAAAAAGCATGAATAGCTACGTTTTTCTCACACTGTTTCATAGTCAGGAAAATCTCTGAAATGCAAATCTCAATAACAGTATTACAACATTTTGCCTCTCCAGATTTGTGGACATTAAAATATATTTTCATATTGTCATACCGATACCTCAAATAACTCTCAGACCACACATTGCCATTCCAATTAAGCCTTTTATTGCTGACCAGTGGCAGACACTCTACTGTCTAAAAGCGAGATGGTCAGAGTGGTGCACCCCCTTCAGTTTGACTTCATATGTAAGCCAAAAAACCATAAAAGGACGTTTGGGGGTTTAGCCAATGCAAGCAAGCCAAGTCACAGAAGTGGGAGATTGCAGTCAGGCAGTCTTCCGGCTTAGCCAATCAGAATAAGCCCAGTTACCCCAGTTATAGAAGCAGAGCCCAGTTACCCCAGTTACACAAACAGAGCCCAGTTAGATAGTTATGTGTTCTTGAGGGTTTCCACAACAAAAGGAAAAACAACTTGGCCCAGTCATGACCTTTCTAGTTGACATGGCTGTTTCACAAAATGGAGTTACTAAACAAAATGGAGTCACTATAGTCAAGACTTCTGCCTCATCACAACATGAAATAAGATTCACTTTAGAACAGGGAGCACTAATTTTGTGTGACCAAATCCATGACTACTCAGTCTTCTCCCACCTCCTCCAAAAAGGACTTTGAGAGGTAATCCATCATTGCTCTTTATTTAATGGGCACCCAGTTTCTATTGGATTTTAATTGCATGATTGAATAAGCCAGTCCATCCAGCATGTGTGGCACACTCCTAATACTTGAACCTGATCAGCCAAATGTAACATTGCACTGAAGCATTTGTTGCACACAGTTGCATTAAGCCATAGACATGATTCTTACTTCACTTATTTGACTCTCAAGTAAGCCTCTGATTCTGGCCTCCTGCCTGTATGTCACTTCATATCTATAAGGCAGGACACAGGTATCTGTCTGATCAGTGAGCTACATGTTAAACAGTTTATTCCTGCACTTAGTCTCAGGATTCTTTATTTACTGCCCTCAAAAGAGTACCTGAAGATTCTGTCCACAAAATCCAGATACCCGCCAAAAAACATAAGACTGAAAAAGACTGACTCAATTTTTCTGTCCTCTAGATTTAAAGTGTTCTGCTTTTAATTAAATTCAGCAAATACTAACAGAATGTCTAGTGTATGTAGGAACTTTTAGAGTTCCTAGAGGTCACGTGTTCATTGATAGCACCATCCCAAGATGGCCACTAAAGCAGAGTCCATAGGTGTAGGATGGGCATATGATAATGAGCTTCAGAACAGCAGGGAAGCCCAACTGTATAAATGATACATTGCTTCCTCTGCATTGAGTAACTAAGCAACAGATCAATGAACAAATAAATGAAATGAACTACATGGTGCAAAAGGATCTGTGTGTATCAAGTTCTTCCCATATATAGTCATTATATAAAATGTATTTCTCATTTGGCTGTGTTTCCACATTTGTGAATTAAGAGAATTGAAATATGTGATCTCTGTTGTTCCTTCCCAATCTATCATTCCCTGAATATCAGGACAACTCCTATCAGCCTTATTCCTATCAACCTACACAGCCCACTCCCAGTAGATGCAGGAAACACTAATCATAAAAATGAAATTGTGTATTTCAGGAGGCCCTTGGGAGGAATACTATGCTTTTCTAATTGTGTCTCCCAGGGCGACTACTACCCCCAGGTCTCCTATCTGGAGGCATCTGTACCACTTGTCCTCTGCCGTATGACACAGTGGGTTTTGGTTTTATTCTTTGAAGATCATGCCCCTTAAAATAACACCATCACTTTTAACTGACAATGGAGGTAAAGATATTTCAGACAAGAAAATTGAGCACAAAGGATGCTAGACCAACCTCATAAAACAAAAACTTTCAAGGAATCTGAGAATGAGAAGGAACTTGAGAGATTACCCAGTCCAATCCCTTCTTTATCCAATACTTTTATTTTACAGGGAAAAAAGCCTGAGGCCCAGAAACATTAAATGACTTCCCCAAGGTCTCAAGAGCTGGTTGATGGCCTGTCCAGAACCCAGGCCCTTCGACTCCCAGCCCTTACACCGTAGAGCTTTCTTATACCTAAGCCAAAGCCAGCTTTTCTCTGCATGTTTCTTAAAGATCCTAAGAGATGATGGATTTACTAATCCATTTAGGATTCCATTTCAATGTCTCACAATCTTCACAGTTAGAATGTTCATCATCAGTGTACCCAAAATTTGCTGCAGTTTAAGCTCATTTACTTCAGTCCTCTCTCAATTTTGCCCAAAGCTGTGAGGTTGTAATGAAGAAAATAGTAGAACCACCTGCAGGTCTTATACTAGACTGCTAATAGAGATTGGTTACAAATTGCTAAGCAGCATGATAAATAAAAATGTTCATTCTTTAGAAAAGGGGGAAAGAAGTCACAGATTGGTGCTCAAATTTTGAAGTAATAAAATCAAAGAATATCGATAGTCTAGCATGTCCTTTGGTTGCCTCTCTAGAGTAAAATTTCCAGTCTGGTTGGCAGTGCTATTTGAATGCAGTGCTATTGCTAATACCCCTCCTTCCATGTGCCATGACACGACATCGGGGCAGTGGAGTCCCCCTTCTTGCACATGTGTCTTCATCCTCAGAGTGGAGCCTCACTGATCAGAACCACAGGAGCCCCAAGGGGCTCTGATACAGATCTTCATTATCTCATTTCCCTGATCTGGCCACAGCAGGTCCTTTTTAAAGATTCAGGAACGGCCTTATTATCTTTTTAAGATCTTTTTTTCCTTCCAATTGTGTGTTTTAGGAAGAAGTAGGAAAAGGTGGAAATCCTTTAGGGTTGCTATGAACCTGAAGTGGCAGGGCAGGGTCAAATGCTCAAATGACTTTTGTTTTGACCTACTATAGTTAAGCAGCCTTTTATTTGTCTGGCTTTAACAAAATCAGATACAGATTCTGTAGTGGAGAAATGTGTTTTCATAATTTATTCCCTCTCCACCCAGTTCTATAAGCCTTTTGGGGTATACTGGGGATTGATCTCAAGAGTACTCAGCCACTGAGCCACATTCCCAGCCCTATTTTACTGTTGTTTTTTTGTTTGTTTGTTTGTTTGTTGTTTGTTTGTTTGTTTTAATTTAGAGAAAGTGTCTCACTTAGTTGCTTAGTGCCTCACTTTTACTGAGGCTGGCTTTGAACTTGTGATCGTCCTGCCTCAGCCTCCCGAGCTGCTGGGATTACAGGTGTGCACCACCACACGGGGCTTCTATGAGCCTTTTGAGCAACTGCTGGGAATCAGAACCGCATTGGGGTCCTGTGGACAAATTCCTGCCCTCAGACTAGTGTATGACAGAAGCACTTACCTAAATGTTGCAGCACAGATGTGGAAAGTTCTTGATAAGGAAGAAAAAGCCCCCAGAATCTGGGAACAATTGGGTTTAAAAAACAAAAAAAAAAAGTATAAAGTAGAATCAAAACAGTACTTTCTAAAACTTAAAATGGGACTTCTTAATTTGAAAAGAAGTGATGTTCATCTGAACTTAGCAATCTGTGTCACAAATTAGCATTATTTTACATATTTTTCTCTGTTAAGAAGTGCAAGGAAGAAAATTTAAATGAATGGTTCCACCCACAGATAATCATCATTAAGTGTTTTTACCAGACTTTTCTCTATATTGATTTTGTTTATAGAATAGAGATCAATACATAAAATTTTGTTTCCAGAGCATTTGATATTTTACCTAAAAAGCATTCTCTTATTTTGTTACAAATCGTTATACACATTATTAGCTGCATGATGCTCCATTTTGCAGGTAAATTACACTTCATTTGGCCCTTTTCTGTTACTGGACAATAGACACACTCTAATAGTAACACATGTTCTTGGAATTACCTGTAAAATATAATCATTACAAGTTTCTAAATTGCTCATTTAGCACAACTAAAGCCATGGCTAAAAACTTAACAACTTCACTCTACAACACCAGCACCTAAAAGTCAATTCCCTACTTGTCAGGCCATGGTAGAATGTCACTTAGGGAAGCAGCTCTCCCCCTTCATTGTCTTGTCTCTGTTATAGGTAATATATTTGACACCAGGAGAGAAAACATGGAGGATACAGAAACAGGTTTTATTGCCTAAGCTTTGATTTTAGTGACTTTGGTCATTAGCATATGTAACTTTTCAATTCTTTTGAATTTCCTCAAAGATCCATGTAATATTTCAGGTTCCTGCAAAGTGTGAGTGTTCTGTGAAGTTTATCTATCATGCTTGAGTAATTTCATATGCTTTTTTTATAAGCAAGTCCCCAATTTGGTATATGATTTTTAAAAATTGTTTTTAAGAGTTAATTTGTTACCTTTCAAAAGTCCAGCATACGATCCAGTTAGTTCATTGTCTGTCATAAAGAAGCAAGCAATTCTTCCTTTTTTTATTCATTCATAACCTTAATGTGAATATGTATAGTTTTGAAGCATATTTATTTTCACATAAATTGCCTAGCTGTATTATAAAGGAGAATGGTTTTTTCCAGGACTGAGAGAGCAGTTGTAAACGCCAAAAATAATTAGACCTTCTTCAGCTTAGAAGAAAAAGTTGTTCTGGGAGACAAAATAGCTTTGACCTATAAGATGAAATCAGTTATGACATCAGTGCACCCCCCCAAAAAAAATATTTATAGCAAAATTAAGTGCAAGTGATGTATGCATTCTTAGGAAAGAAAACCCTTTAACATAAATTGTGTCAACACAGAGACAAAATAACTAATTAAAAGGTGAAAAACTCAAAGTAGCCAGTTTTACTTGATACATAACAACCATTTAAATAGAAGGCTTTAACTGAATGACTCAGGATTTTAACTGTGTGATAACCAGTCACAAGTGTACATGCTTAATATTCTGGTACACTTCCTGGTCCACTTGCCCTCTGCTTTATATAAAACCAACATAAGAAACTCTGAATTTATTTGAAAGAGATTTTTGCCATGTAGGTATCTGTTTTACAGAAATATTTGCCTCCGGATTTCTTTCCTGCTTTGAATCTTTGGCACTTGATCCAAAGGCCAAATATTGGCATGAAAGAAATTTGTACATCCACCAGATCCTGGGATTAAAACTGCCATGTGAGGGGCTGGTGTTGTGGCTCAGTGGTAGAGTGCTTGCCTGGCATGTGTAAGGTACTGGGTTTAATCCTCAGCACCACATAAAAAATAAATAAATAGAGGTATTGTGTCCATCTTCAACTAAGTGTATATATATTCCACCAATATTCCACCAAGACCAGCTGAAGATGATGCACACGTCCCTGTAATGTAACAGAAACTGGTTTTAGGTGTGGCTTGTGGAATCTGACTACTAGACAGTTAATCTCGTATATGTGTGTCTTTTTTCTTTTTCTTTTCTTTTTTGAAGCTAAAAGTAAGGGTCAGAAAAATTGTTTCCATTGTATTTTTTAGTTAGCCTTTTCCATTCCAATCAGTAATCTCTTTCGTGAAACCAGTCCCTTTGTTTTATCAAGTGGTCTGATGAACTACTGTGGATAAACCAGGGCTTTTGTTTTTCTGCAGCATATGCTTAAAAATTTGTCTTCTGCCTTCCAGAATGAAATATTTCTCAAGGGAATAGAAAAGATTAATTAGTGACCTTTCACTCTATTAAACTATGAAGAATATGTCTCTAATAAAGGTAGAAACATTTACTCACAACTGTGGGTCTGTTAAATATGCACCATGAACCTTCAAAAGCACTTCCTTCCAAGCCTGGGTGACAGCTTGGAATTTTCAGTACTTCAGGAGGGAGAGGGAATTTTCAATTCACAGATATGTGCAATGTATTCACAAATTGGAAATACAGCTTAGGAGGCTGCTGTATCAAAACTGTAACCACAAATCATATTTTATAAATCAAAATTGTTTTGTGTTAACTTACTGTGACTACTGTTCAGACTTTGTTCAGAAATCCTTTTTATAGGCTTTCTTAGCAAAAAAAAAAAAAATTCCGTATCTATGGATAATGTCTCAATCTTCTGTATATATGTTTTATTAATATGTAAATATTCTGATTTTTTAAAACTACTATGTTCTTTAAGAAAGAATTCAATGCAAGGCTACTTGTGAAAATGGTGTATAACATTGTGTTGTGATATCAACTCCCAAGATGCTCTTTATGTCTGTTCTGGAAGAATACAATAAATTACTTTAATTGAACGTACTTGTGTCTTGCTATGTGCCAGTCTTTCTGTGTTTGTGAAGTCAATGCTATTCATTAATTAAATGGTATTCATTAAGACTCTACTGATCTTCCACCGAAATTATACATCCTTATGAAGTTAATTTTTAAAAAATAAAACAAATTAGATTGCTACCGAAATGAGAGTCTTCAGACGCTGCAGTTAAGGTTCTGTCTGGCCGTCAGATCAATGGCTATAGCAAGTCTCACAGAAACACTTGGACATTAAGTACTGAGGTGCTTGAAGCCTAATTTTAAATGAATTAGGTAGCTTTATAATCTTCACTTAAAAGGTTAAGCCCTGCTTCTATGGAAACAACACATCAGAAGGACAAATCAATCTTCTCCAATGCAAAGTGGCTCTGAAAATGTAATTGCTTTATTCTTCCTCTTTGAACACAGGAGGGCGCTACCTGCCTCTTGGCTCCACTGGGGCTTTAGGAGGGTCTGTTTAATGGGCCCCTGATCTAGTCAGCATCTGTGAGGAACAGTAGGCAGGCAGTAATAGGGAGTAGCAGCTAGCCTGGTGGAGAGGGGACAGTAAAACAAATTGCTTGCAAAAAAGAAAATATATAGTGTAACCATCCTGAATCTTTCATGCAACCTCACCAGCCTTCCCCTTCTGCCATGTGCTGACAGTTTTGGGGGGCCTCTGTGTCCGTGAAATTGCTTGTAAGGGGTCCACATCATGTTTTATGGCCCAAGTTCCCTCGGATGCCCTTGCTGCCATATGCTGGCAAGGTTTGGTGCTGTGGATGTGGCCTGGTGGAAGAGCCCTAATGGCCTTTCTAATCCAGTAGGGGTGAGAAGACCCAGTTTTGCCACAAAAGGCTCCACCGGAAGGAGTTCATACTACCTCAGTTGTCCTCCTCCAGGCCTGGCCTTATCAAGGGTTTATAGAAGGCAACAAGCTCCTTTACCAGCTGTTCTGAGTTCAACTCCACAATCCACTGCATACCAACCATCCTAACCCTGTGATGGTTTATGATGACTTGGTTGGGATGCAAGGAAAAGAGGGGCCAGAGCTGAGGCTGAAGAAGCACCTGGAACCAAACCACCTCAGGTCTTGTGCCACCCCAAGAGGTTCGGACAGCATGGGCATCCCTGAAGCATTTGAAGTAAAGAGGCCTTTCCAGCTCGTGTCTTATATTGATCTGTCTGGCTGAAGTTTTGGAACATTCAGCTGTAAGAATAGCTGGGGATAGGTAAAGAGAACACAGGACAAAATCCTGTGAGAAGAGAATCGGTAAGACTC